AGAAAGATTATCTGTGAATTTATTTAATTAATTTTTTAGTTTTTACCCTTGCATTCAATTTTTAATCTTAAAAAAGTTTATTGCAGAAAAATAATTTTGTTAACATACCTACATACCACAGGTTAACACAGTTATATAATATGATTCAGTATTAATATATGAGCTTTAACTAACTATCATTTTATTATTAACTGAAGAATTCATTCTGATAAATTAGCTCAAGAAATTAAAAAGCTTAAAGCAGAAAATGAGTAATTCTTTCAATATCTAATGTGTCAATGTTGACGTCTTTATTTTTAGTTTTTATATGAAAATCCCAAAAATAAAATAAACTTTTTAAACTGTAGTGTACTGCTTTGAATTCAAAGTAAAGCAAATAATCTTTCTATTGGAGAACAAATTTTTAAATGATGCACTTTTCATAAACTCTGTTTTATACTATAAAAAGTTTAATTATATTTACTGTAAGTCATATATTTTCTGCTTTAGTTGTGATTGTAAAACCTTTTTCTTTTTTTACTCAGTTCCTCCTAATCTAAATGCTCACTGTGAGTACTGGGCAGCTGGATACTCTGTTCTTATTAAATGGACAGACCCAGAGGGCGCGTGGACTAATGCGGAGGTGAATGTGGCTGGAACGACTCACACAGTAGTTAGTCCTGAAACTGAGATCATAATCGATGGATTCCAACCTGCCAATAAATATAAGGTGTCTGTAACTTCACTGTCTGGGGTGAGGAGTTCTGAACCGCATGTTTTTTACTGCCAAACTGATCCAAGGGGTGAGTAAAAGTAACTATATTACCATGTTACTGCTTCATAACAATATACAGTATTTTCAACTTTGACTTGATTACAAATCATATCATTTCACTCAAGTTTAAAAATAAACCTCTACATTTTTTAACTTCATTGTATTTTAATCATGCTTTTGCTCCCTTTAGAAGTTAATTTACTTGAGTTATCTTCGTCTAATATGAAATGTGTTTGGTGATCTGAAAAATCTCATTTTAACAAATATGCAAAAAGCTTAGAAGTCATAAAGAGAGCACTGTATACTGTCCCTAATGCAATTTCATTGACACAGCTATTAAATTTGACAAAACATAAATAGTCTTTCTCAATGCTACAACACAAAACATCTCTAATTTAAATTTAACTGGCGTCCACTCAGGTTCATTTGTGCTGAGACTCTTCCGCCATCTAGTGGTCTTCAGTCCTTACTGCTTTTCTACTGGTCTGCTTCTGTCTATCTACTGGAGCAGGAAGATGACAAACAATCCAGCTGTCTCCATGGAGACGACCAAGTGCGATGGAGGAGGTGATGAATTATATGAAGACCATGACGATGTCACAGTGCTTGGCACCGAGCATGGCTTCTAAGCAGAAGAGACCAGACCAGCATAACTCTGGGGTGGAAAACAGTCCCCAACATCGACAATTATATTCTTGCGTTTAATGAAAGAGAGATGAACATTAGTAATTCTCAAGAAGAATACAGAGTGTTAGATTTGATCAGTGGAACCAGATACACTTTCACTCTCTTCACTGTGTTTGGAAATGTCAGAAGCAGTGGAGTAAACTGCATCGCTGTTACTGGTGAGAT